TCTTTTATATTTAGTTGTATTTTATTATTTGAATATTCATCTTTATCATTTTTATATTCTTATCATTTTTATATTATTATCATTTATATCTATTTTCAATTTATATTTATTCTCTTTTGTTTTATATTTATATTAATTTTATCTTTTATACTTTGATTTTATTATTATATCATTGATTATCATTTCTCGTTTTATTTATCATTTATTCTTATTATTCTTTTGTTTTTCTATATCATATATTCATATCATTTTCATTTATATTTTATCACTTATTATATTATAATAATAACATAACACATATGACTGAATATATAATAAACATCATGATGAAGTTATACATATAAATAATAAACATAAAAATAATAAAATATTTTTCATTAATAAAACAATATTAATTATTTTACATCATTAAATTAGACACTTTTATTGAATATTTCTAATTTTTACATTAAAAATACACTTTTTATTTCTTCTTTTATTACATCTTTGTGATTTATTATTTTTATATTCTTCTTCTACTTTCTTTTTATTCTTTTATATATTTATATTCTTTTTATATTATTTGTTTTTCGTTGTTTTTCTATTTCTTTCTTCTATTATTTATCAATTTTATATTCATTTATTCTTTTTATTTTGTTTTTATTAGTTCTTGAGTATTGTATATTTCTTTATTATTTCATTTGTGTATTATCAAATTATATGTTTTATTGATTTTATGTTGAACAAAATATTGAATAATTCAATATTTCCATTCTTAATTATTCATTATTTATTCTGAAATGTTGTGTAGATTTATTATATTAAATGAATATGATGAATGAATATCAATATTATTGTTTATTTGATTTTAAAAAATAATAAATGAATATGAAATAAAATAATGAAATAAAATAATGAAATGATAATGAAATAGAATAATCTAATATTGAACAAATCAAATAAAGGATATATTGAATATATCATAATTGTTACTTTATTATTTGTTATTTCAATTATTAAATATTAATAAATTATTATTAATGAATATTTAATTGATTGATATTTTACAATTTCATTTTCATTTTATTTAATAAATGAAATATAAATAATAAATGAATGAATAATAATTTAATATATGAAATAATAAAAAGAAAAGAAAGATAAATAATAAAGAAATATGATGTATTTAATATATAATATAATTTATTATCAAATATAATAATATCAAATGATGAATTATTTTTATTTCAAAATATTTTGCATCAATAAAATATGTTGCTAAATATTTTGCATCATTAAATTTTGCGCTTTTTTTATTTGTTTCAACAAAATTTGCATCCTTTATTTTTTTCATTCTTTTCTTCTTTTAATATCTCTTTTGTTTTATTACACTTTATCTTCTTTCTTTTTATATTCTCTCATTTCTACTTTTATTCTTTCTTCATCATATCAAACTTCTTACTTTAGTTTTATTCTTTTATATCATTCATTCTCTTCTTTTTCAATTATTTGCTTTTTTTCGTTGCCTGTTTTAAATATTATGTGATGTTCTTTGAATTTTATTCTTTATACAATCATTCAGTTACATAAATTAATGATAAAAATAACATACAATACAAACTAAATGAGAACGATGATGAAATAATCCATGAAATAAAGAAAAATAAATACAAAAAGAAATAAAAAGAATAAGAAAGAATGAAATAATAAATAGTAATAAGAAAATAAACAAGAAATAAATAATAAGAAGTGATATGACAATGATAAAATATGAAAGTGAATATGATAAAGAAAATAATAAAAAGAATAAATTAAATAACAATTGATTGAATAAAAACTTAAAAAATGAAATAATATATCATAGAATAAATACTTCTAGAAAAAAAGAAAGGATAATAAAAGAATAAAGAAGAATAAGAATAACTAAATGAAATGAACAATGCAAATAATGAAAGATAAATAAAAATGAAAATAATAAAATAAACAATTAAATAATGAATGAAATAATGTTATATTTATAATAACTAATAAAAATATTAAATAAATATTAAATACAATTTTATTTATTGTATAATCGTTAGAACCATTTGTTGTTTAATATTATAATAATGTCTATATTTATTATTCTATTCTTTATACATTTCTTCTTATTATTATTATGTTTATTTTTTATTATTTTATATTTTTATCATAAATAATTTAAATAATTTATTCAATTATATTTATTTCTATTCTTTATCTTCTACTGTTGTTATTCTCTTTTCTTGATTTTTATATTAACAGATTTATCTTCTATGAGTTGTTTATTTTCTTTATTACTTTCTTCAACTTCCTTTTCAATTTATATCCCTTTTCATTGTAACATGATTCGATTATGTGAATTCCATACACTCGGATCATGAACTCGAGGTAATAATTTATTTGGATAGTTGTTCATGATATTTCTCTGTGGTATATCATGATGGTTTCTTAATGTTTCCTTAAGTAATAAATACAAAAAACAACTTCAAACTACTTTTAATTTCTTCATTGATTTGATCACCACATTAATCATTTGAATGTCCCTTTTATTTCATATTACTTTTCTATTTAGATTCTACTCTTGGAAATAGTCATCTCATCAGATGCTTTTCATTATTATCCTTTCACATTCCTTTGTTTAATTTCCTAATTACATGTTTTTGTTTTCTTTTTATATTTCTTTATTCATCTCCTCTATCTGTTTGATAGTGTCTCTTAAGTTTCTCTTGCTTATTTCTTTCTATTTTATATTCCCTATTTTGTACTTCTTCTTACTTTCACTTCTTTTAATTACTAGCTTCTTCTTTCTTAATTAAGTCTTTCATTTCTTACTTTATACTTAATGTATTCATATATGTATTTTGATTTCTTGTTTGAAGTTCTGTTCTTTTTTTCTTTAAATATCTTCTTTCGTTTCTTATCAAATTTTATTTATAACAAAATTGTGTTTCTTGGGATTATTTCAGTCTTTTAATATTTTAAATTTGGTAAACAAAAATATGAAATGCCTACTACCAAAAATCTTTCAAAATTAGTTTGGTATATTCTAAAATTATCATAAACCATTGAACAAAATACTTATTCTTTTGTTTCTATTTCATCTTTCTTACTCTTTTATTAATTATTCCTATATTCTATTATTAATTTGTGTTTATCAAGAAGAATAAAAAAAGACCAAAATAAAATAATCAATTCAATCATTTTCAATTAAATTCTTTGATTGAACATAATAAAAATGTATAGTATTACTTTTATTTATTTTAGTACTTCATACTAACATATTAATATTCGAATATATTTATAATTATACTTTAACTATGTTTTGATTTCTTTTAATAAATACAAACTACCATTAAAAATTATCAATAATCATTATACAAGAATTGTCATTTCTTACAATTTCTTATTTGAATTAACTCAATGAAATAAAATTAAAAATTACTTAATTAAGTGTTAATAAAATTTTCATTTATTCTTCATTGATCATACGAGACTAATCTCTTCGCTGTTTAAAAAAGAGTAATCTTTTTCTTTAACTTATCATTTATGTTTTTCTTGCAAATTGAGAAAATCACTTCTTTTATTTTTTCCTATTAATGTCTTCTCATCCTTCTTCTGCTTATTCCTTCTTTTTAACCTTTTGTTTATTTTCTATCTTAATTTTAAACATTTTCTTTTTCCTTTTTTCTTTATTTTATGAATGAGAGAAGAGAGTATTTCATTCCCATTATATTATTATGTTTAATTTTCTTTTAGTCTTATCCACACTTTAGTACTTCCTTATAGTACACCATGTAATATTCTATCATAATATCTTGCTACACCCTTTGCAACTTTACCTAATACATTTCTAATTTAAATACACCGTCATAACCAGAAAATAACTTGGAGAGTCAATGCTTGAATTTGTATTAGTGTTTATGAGTGATGTTTCAGCATTGTAACCTTCGATTTATAGAAAAATAAAATATAAAATCAAAAGCAATTAATTATTAATAGAACTAGCTTCTATTGTTCCTGGCTCAGGGGAGACTAATCCCGTTCCTTCGTCTTCATCTTCAAGCAGCTCTACGGAGTATGTTTGGTTGTGATCTCCGCAGTATTCCATAACATCTATCATATTTTTTATTACAAGGTTTTTTACTTCTTTCTCGATGTCAATTTCGAAAAATAAAAGAAAAAAAGAAAAACTAAAAATAAACAACAATGGGAATAATAATAAGAACAACAACTCCAAATAATAAAATGGAAGAAATAATCAAACAAATAGAAGAATTGACAGAAAGAAGAATATCAAATATAATATTTGATTCTGGTGTTGATGACTGGAAACTTGATACATCAGTATTTAATCAAAGAATAATGAATAAAGAACATATAATAATTATTATTGAAGATGAAGAAGGAAATAAATTTGGAGGATATGTTAATTCTCGAATTAATAGAGTTGATGGTTTTATATATGATTCAAAATCATTTGTATTTTCATTGGAATCACAAGGAAGAATGAAAAGAATGATGAAATTTGATATTAAAGACCCACGACATGCGTTTAAAATATTTAACCAAAGAAATGATTGGTTGTTTGAATTTGGATATTATGATATTATTGTTTTTAAAGAAAATTATAAAACACAATCATTTTGTATTCAACGTTCTTTTGAATATAAAGGAATATCAAATGCACTTTGTGGAAAACCATATCCAGATCGTTTCACACTAAAACGAATCATAGTAATTGAAATGAAATGATTCAATCTGGAATTAATTGAAAATGAGCTAAAAAAGAATAGAAAACAAATAATGTTATGAATATGAACAATTAATAAATGTTAATTATACACTTTATATTTAATTCTGTTGTGATGTATCTTTGTTATATGAATATTTGGAGTATTATTTTAAAGTATTAAAGCGAATAATTCATTGTTAGATCGTTTTGTTCCTTCATACGATTGGGATAATAATGGATTAAAACAAAACCTTATTCCTTTGTTTAAACATAAAAGATTTGTATGTATTGTGAATTGTGCTGATGTTCAAGAGAGTTTTTGTGAAAGAGGTGCTTATGCAATTAAAGAAACAGCTCATTTGTATCATATTGCATATAATGAATTGTATATGGTTGGATGTGATGGAGAAGGTATTGTTGAGAAAGACATAAAGAAACAGGAAAGAGCCATTAATTTTGGAAAGCATGTTGGTGTAGAACATTTACAATCCATTAATTAATATTTGTTCTTTTCGTTGTTTTGGTTCTTGTATTAATCATTAGTCTACTATTAACTTTCATCTCTTTTGAACCAATAACACCAATTCATTATTGCTTGTTATATGGAAATATTCTCACATTCAATTCACAATGAACTTCAAGTTTCATACCAAAAACTCAGTTCAAAACATGAAACTACTTCCTCTATTAAATTTAACAATATGTATGGATATTATTGTAACTTTTCTTTGTCTGTTCGTTGTTTACGCAGTTGAATTAATGAGTTGATAGACAAAGAAACACTCTTTGATTAGTCATAATCAAAATAACATAAACTCTTATAAATTAAATAACATATCAATAAAAAGAATGTCATTAAACACAAACATCATTC